TATATTAGTGTACTAGTGCTACCATAACAAAATAGCATTAAAAAAAAATACCACAGACTAAGTGACTTAAGCAATAGAAGTTTATTTTCTCATAGTTTTAGAGGCTTGAAGTCTAAGATCAAGGTGTTGGCAGGTTTAAAGGGTTTCTTCCAAGGGTTCTCTTTTTGGTCACAGATGGCTACCTTTTTCACAGCATAGCTTCCAGGGGTCTTTTCTGTGTGCACGAACTAGGTGTCTCTTTTTGCATCCAAATTTCTTTTTTTTTTTTTTAAATTTTAATTTTATTTTTTAAAATATTTTATGTTAATCGCCATATATTACATCATTAGTTTTTGATGTAGTGTTCCATGATCCATTGTTTGCATATAACATCCAGTGCTCCATTCAGTACATGCCCTCTTTAATACCCATCACCAGGCTAACCCATCCCCCACCCCACCCCAGAACCCTCAGTTTCTTCTCAGAGTCCATAGTCTCTCATGGTTCGTCTCCCCCTCCGATTTCCCCACCTTCTTTTTTCCCTTCCTACTATCTTCTTTTTTTAATATATATGATGTATTATTTGTTTCAGAGGTACAGGTCTGTGATTCAACAGTCTTACATAATTCATAGCACTCACCATAGCACATACCCTCCCCAATGTCTATCACCCAGCCACCCCATCCCTCCCACCCCCCCACCACTCCAGCAACCCTCAGTTTGTTTCCTCAGATTAAGAATTCCTCATATCAGTGAGATCATATGATACACGTCCAAATTTCCTTTTCTTATAAGGAAACCAGTAAGAGTGAATTAGGGCCTATCCTAAGGGCCTGATTTTAACTTAATTATCTCTTTAAGGGCTGCATCTACACAATCACGATCCAAGGTTCTGGGGGGGTTAGAGCTTCAACATACGAATTACGTACAGACACAATTCCGCACACCGAAGGAAGAGAATGATGTTAGTGCATACATTTCAATACCTGACCCATCAGTATTTAGTAAAACAATGCATATGCTGAGTTAACATCATACTCCCCACAAACCTCCTTTACTGTTCCTCTAATCCACTCTGGAGAAGGGGCATTATTAAACAATCTCTATTTTTTTTTTTTTTTAAACAATCTCTATTTTTAGTTTTTCCTAAGACTTCTACCTTATTCAAAGCAGGGAGGTTGAGAGTAATTATTTTGGTGAAAACGTAAATTAATTGAGCCAGAATATGAAGAGCCATCATCCATCTATTCACTTGGCTTCTGCTAGGCTACAAACCAGATGTGAAATTGTTAATGTATAGAAACTAAACTGTAATCTCACGTTCTCTGTTCTACTATGTCCAACAGAGGTAAAAATTTATTTATTTTTTTGGTAAGATTTTATTTTTAAGGTAATCTCCTTGGAGCTCAAACTCACAACCCTGAGGTCAAAAGTTGCTTGTTCCACTGACTGGGCCAGCCAGGTGCCCTTAGGGATGAAAAATTTAGAAGTCACTGTATCCAAATCATCCCCAAAACTTCAGAGTAAACTATGTGTGCTTCATTGTTTCATCTCTCATTTCAATAGGGATGAATTAGAACTATTCTGTGCATAATGGAGTTCCTATCAAAGCATGTAAACATCTGATATGTTGTAGAGATGATGATGATGATGAAGAATTAGCCAGGAATATCAGAAATATTTCTGGAAAAAGTGACCCTTATGTAATTGCATTTGAGTTTGGCAGGAGCTGGTCAAGTAAAGAAATAAGGCAAATGAACCAATATACGCAAAAACTCATTAATATGAACCAGCAGTAAAAATTTGGAGAATTAAAAGTAGTCCAGTATTGAGAGAATGAAAAATATGGAAAGCGGTAAGAGAAATAAGAGGTAGGAAGAAGCCAGATCATTCCTACTGTATAAATAATATTAATCATTGAGGTGAAGTAGCTTGGCCAAGGGCAAAAAATTAGTGAATGGCAGAACCAGGATTTATAACAAATTTAACTCCAAATACTTCACTTAGCAGAGTGACCCAATTTTCCTAGGTTGTTCCTGGTTTATAAATATTATTTCTACATCATTATTAACAGGGCCTTCTTTTACCCTATAAACACTCTGACTTGGGGGATATCTTCACCCTGTGTCTTAAGCCACCATGCTATACTTTTCTAGACCAAAGAAAACTAGGGTTTCATTAATTTCTCTCATTAGTGAGATTAGCTGGTGAAAGAGCTAATGCTGATAAAAATAATCATGTATTTGGAATGGTTTTGGACTATCATCACCTTAACAAATAACCCAGTCAATATACATCAGAGTTAAACTGTCTTTTATAAACATTCCCATTACTTAAAAAAAAAGCAGAAAGAGCAAAAAAGAAAAAGTCATCATTCTTCCAATTTTAATTTTGTTCAAAGACACTATGAATTTAAATACTTAGGTTATACCACAGACAGAAATTCAAACTGCCTAAAGAAAGGTAGTTAGATCAGCAAAACTCTACTCAACCTTGGCCAAACCAGGTCACTTTTGTTTGTGTTAAGTCCTATGAAGCACTTTGTTCCATAGCCTACCCTCTAAAAAAAAAATGAAAAATTGTAGTTATTCTACTGAAAATATTAACACCTGCATCAGACTGCTTACCCTTCCTCATACCTATTTACTGACATGTAAAACAATGAATATGCCAAGTACTTGCTTTTCCCAAGGTAGACATGGGCAAGTGACCAAGCCCAGGCCAACGGAAATCCCTGAAGGGGAAATGTGATGCACTCAGAGGACTCTCTGGGAAAAGTTCCCCTCTCTGACATGCATAGGATATAGAGAAGATACTTTCCATTCCCCACTTCACTTTTTATTTTGCTCTCGGATGTACATATGTAAAAACACAACTGAGGAGTTGCAGCAATCATCCTGTGACCAGGAGGGGACAAGGCTAAGAATAAAGTTCATATTTGGGAAAGGCAGAAGAAAAAAACTGAGAGATCCCAGGCCCTTGGAGCAGTTTAATAAACTTGAATGCTCTTCCTCTAAACTAAGATTATATACTGTAAAACAAGGACCCTTACTTTTTAGGTCATTTTAAATTTGATACTGGTACTGCAGCTAAAATCATCCCAACATACACAATGGGTTATCAATCAAGTGGAAGAAATTATTCAGTATAATTATTACTGTCTTTTCAAACTCAGAAGCATAAATTAAAAAAAGGAAACACAGGGATTAAACATTTGAAGAAAAAGGTTGAGTTTTCATTTCCCAAGAGAAGTTAAACAAGATAATGGTCAAAAGTTAATATATATTGAGTATTTACTATGTGCCAGGTACTCTGATGGATCACTCAGTTAACTCTCATAACAAACCTAAGAAATACTACTCCCCTTCTACAGAGGAGAAAACAGAAGCATATACAAGTTAAGCTACTTGCCCAAGGTCATAACCCTTTGAGAGTGGCTGAGGAAGCGTTCAAAATTCACATCGTTTGACTCCAGAACCTGAGTACAAAATATTTAAGGGCAGCTAAAGATAAATGCACATTAGCTATTTTTTCTATGAAGAAGAGATTCAAGTCCTCTGTTGAGCATGAAAAGAACGGAAAGGAGTAAGGAAGTTGAGAACCACGACTGTAATTATGAACAACCACTACTGTTTTGCAATGACAAAAGACTACCTCATTTTATACATAGAGAAATCAAGGCCCGGGGTGCTTGGGTGGCTCACTTGGTTAAGTGTCCAACTCTTGATTTTGGCCCAGGTCATGATTTAGGGTCCTGGCATCGAGCCCTGTGTTGGGCTCCGTGCTCAGTGGGGAATGTGCTTGAGGGTTCTTTCTCTCCCTCTCCTGCTGCCCCCACCCTGCTCTCACACTCATGAGCACACTCTCTCTCAAATAAATAAATAAATCTTAAAAAAAAAAAAAGAAAAGAAAAGAAAAAGAAATCAAGGCCTAGAAAGGAAAAGATGAAATGTAATTAGTGTTACAGGTAGTAATAAAACTCAAGTGACTTAGACATTCTATTCCTAGGCCAGAGTACTTTTCATTTTACCAAACACTGCCTCCCCTTTAAAATGATGTACTGGGGCATCTAGGTGCCTCAGTAGGTTAAGCATCTGCCTTTGGCTCAGGTCATGATCTCAGAGTCCTGGGATCGAGCCTCAAGCTGAAATCCCTGCTCAGCGGGGAGTCTGCTTCTCCCTCTCCCTCTGCCCAACTCCTGCTCATGCACACAATCTCAATCTCTTCACTCAAATAAAATCTTTAAAAAAATATGATGTATCATAGTTCCAATACACACAGGGGGAAAAATGAAATACACGAAGAAATAACAATATTTAAGGCTTACTAAGAGAGATTCACAGAGTAGAACTCCCATATTCAATATTTACCATTGATAAGCTCTGATGTGAGCAGATAGACAATAAAACCTGTTTATGGTATTTGATACATAGTAACAAAAAAGTGAAATAATTTAGTGAAAAAATTATTTTGTCAGGAAACTATATTTCCTTGTTAAATGTTTGAAGAATCAGATTTTCCTGGAAACTACCATTAAAGGTCATCGAATTTTCTAAAAAACATAGTTTTAGAAAACAATCTTAATAACTAAGTATAAATGTTTTGACTAATTACAGAACTATGTATCATATTCTCCCTATAGCAAAGTAACCTGAGTTACTGTTAGTTTCCCCTAACAACTCACAATTACATAAGGATAGACTAGACTGCTAAGTATTAACCTTGAATCATTTGACAATGCTCTACATGAGATAGGAATGGAGAAGTGTACAATTACTCATATTAATACAAAGTACCAAAAGCCAAAGAGGGTGGGGAGACAGAAGATGACCTCCCAAAGAGAGACTTGACATATGGATTCCCAAGAACTGCTTATTCTTTTTCCTGGGAAGAATACTTTTCATGAATTAAGGTAATATAAGAGTTCACTGATTTATCTGTAACAACAATTTCTATAAAATCTCAGGTATCTAAAATAGTGTTTGGATATTTGGACAAAAGTAAACACAGAACTGCCTTACTCTGCAATGTCGAGATATCCACAGGAAGCAGCTGCATGTAGTGGTATCCAGCCTTCATTATCAGGTTGATTAATATTTGCTCCATTTTCAACCAGAAACTTCACCATATCAACATTGTCATCAATGCAAGCCTAAAAACAAAACAGAAAGCAAAATAAGAAAAAATCTGAATCAACGCTAATAAACTTAGCAGCTTTTATAACATAAATATTCTCTTTTAGTCTGCTGCTCTCTCGACTGTACTGCCATCAAACAGGCTAATGGTACCAACTAAACTGTAAGAGTCCTTGCTTAGATGCACATACAACAGTACTGTATGTGACTAGACTATGCCAATCTGTGATAAAAATAAATACGTATTATAATAACAATCAAGACATTACATAAGTACCAATAATATCCTCTACAGCAGTGGTTCCCAAAATGTGGTCTGTTGAGGGGGGAGAGATCCTTTCAAGGAATTCACAAGGCAAAACTATTCTCAAAATAATACTAAGATGGTATTTCCCCTTTTCACTGTGTTGACAGGTGCACTTGAGGGTGCAGAAAGCACCGGTGGCAAAACTTGCTTGTGCCTTAGTACAAATCAAGGCAATGGTCAAAAATATTCTAAGTCACTATATTTGCCACTATGCAGTCATAGTTTTCTTTAAAAGCTATTTTTATTTATGAATGTCCTTGACAAAGTAGTAAAACCTATAAGTCTTATTAAATTTTGACCCCTGAATACACATCTTTTTAATATTCTGTGGAACAAGATAGGAAGTATGGATAAAACACTTCTTCCAAGTATAATGACTGCTCCAAGGAAAAGCACTTGTGCAACTAAGATGCAAGCTGAACTAGCCACTTTTCCCATGGAATACAACTTTTACTTAAATGAGAAACTATACTTAGTCTAACTTGGGTTTTTGGCATGTATTTTCTTAAAAATGAACAGTTTGTCATTTCAAAAGAAAAACAGTATTTGTTGTCAATGATGAATTCAAGTCTTAAGAGCAAATGAATGAATTATTTTAATTTTAAAATGCTATTTATTTATGTAACATGGGTACAGTATTGCTGCTTTAAAATGAATTGATAAATACTTAAATCCTGTTTTAACCTCTATATTATCATGTATTAATATATACACACCACAGAAATAAAAGTTCTTTGGGGTCTTTCAATAATTTTTTAGAGTATAAAGCAGTCTTGAGACAAAAAAGTTTGAGAACTGCAGCCTATAGTAACTAAGAAGGGACTTTTGTTTACTTTGTGCAGGTAGTATGACTGGTACTTTATCTATTTTACTGATTTATATACACTATCCTCACATAAACCCTCATGAGAACAGGAATTTTGCTGTATCTGCAGCATCTTACACAGTTCTTGGCATGTGGTAGGGGCTTAATAAACGGATGAACGAATGAGAAAGCTAAGATTCAAAGAGATTAAGCAGCTTGAATAAGTCGACAGGTGGGCGATGATAGCTGGCACTCTAACAGATGTTTAGATTCCAAAATAATAAGCCCTCTTCCACACTTAACACTGTTTTCCACAGACAGTCCTAGTTTATCAACATACTTCTCACCTCTTTGTAGTCTCTGCAACAGGATATCATAAGTTCTAGGCACTTACAAGGTGTTGTATGAATGAAATCAATTTTTCTTTACCTATCACAGAAGCAAAAGAAAACACTTTTGGTAGCATTTTCTTAGGGAAAAAAATGAGTGTCAAAAAAACCACTATGGAAAAAGTACAAAGGAGAAAAATACTGACAGGGAATCATAGCTTTTAATTCTAGGCTCTAGTTTTGGCTCTGTCACAAATTTTGTAGTGATGGACAAGTAATTTAATCTTTTGAGGCTTAATGTCCTTATTTTTCAAGTGGAGGAAAGAAGCTGGTGGGTTATCTATCTCTAAAATTCCCTAATATGTTTAAGATTCTTATGTATCTGTGATTCTTCTCCTTGGAACAAGTTATAAGCAACCTGATGGCAAGGTCCCATAGTGTCAGAACAGTACCTTACACATGGCAGATGGTAAATGAATATATAAGTAACATTCATATGGACTTTAAGTATATATTGCTTGGGAAAAAAACCATTTTCAAGAAGCAGTGGTTAAAGAAAGGGCTGGAGAGATCTGAGAACCATTAAGCTATCTAATAACAAAAAAAGAAGAAATGTCAAAATACTATTACATTAGAAAGCAGTCTATAAAATGTTATTTAAGATTGCTAATGACTCACAGTGGCATCGATTAATATTAGATCTATTTATAGGCTTAATCATTAATTTTCCTTGAGAAAAGATATTGATTTAATACCTTTTTTTTTTAAAGATTGATTTAATTCTATTACCCTTTTCACTCAATCTGCTTTAATTCGTACAGGCTCCATTAACAGTGTTCTGACTTTTATCATTATGATATAAAAAATATAAAACTCTATTTGATAAATCCATCTAATATGAATCTGATTATCATTTTTAAAAAAATGAAAGATAATGTCAAGCAAACAAGAAATGATTCTTTATAAAGGGATATGGGAAATGCTCACAATAAATTTTTAAAAAAGGATGTAAGGACTGTTTACCTAATACGATTTCAATTTTACTAAAAAAATATGTATATAAGGGGCACCTGGGTGGCTCCTAAAAAAATATGTACACAAGGGATGCCTGGGTGGCTCAGCTGTTAAATGTCTGCCTTCGGCTCAGGTCATGATCCTGGGGTCCTGGGACTGAGACCCACATGAGGCTCCCTACTCAGCAGGAAGCCTGCTTCTCCCTCTCCCACTCCTCCTGCTTGTGTTCCCTCTCTCGCTGTCTCTCTCTCTGTCAAACAAACAAATAAAATCTTTAAAAAAAATTTTTTTAAATGTACACAAAAAACCCAGAATATATACTGAAGGTTAACAGGCATTATCATTGGTTGTGAGACCAAGAAAAATTTTTATTTTCTTCTTTAAATTTTCCTTTATTTCCAAAATGTTTACAATAAATAGGCAGTTTATATAAGAAAATTTAAGACTTGATTCTCTTTTTTTTTTAAAGACATTATTTTTAAGTAGTCTCTACACCCAACGTGGGGCTCAACCTCACAACCCAAAGATCAAGAGTCGCACGCTCCACCAGCTGAGCCAGCCTGGTGCCCCAAGACTTGATTCTTAAAAAGAGAAACAGTAAACCTATTTTAACATGGAGAAACAACCAAACTGTTGGTGAAAGTGTAAAATTCATACAACCCCCTCAGAAAACCATTTGAAAGTGTAATAGTATAATAGAATATTATACTATAAAGTATAATAGAATAAAGTGTAGTAGTAAATAAATAGCATGGAGCGTATGTGTGTGAGAAGATTCTATTCATGTAATGGGATCTTATACATTAATGAGAAAAGAACAGCAAACAAAAAGAACAAACCATTGCTACCTTCAACAACACAGATGATCTTCACAAACATAGATGAGTGAAAAAAGGCAGACAGAAAGGATATATACTACAGGTTTCTAAGCAAAACTAATCTCTGGCGCTGAAGTTCAGAATCATAGTTAAATTTGTGGGGAAATGAAGGGAGGGGCATGAGGGAGTTTTCTAGAAGACTGGAAATGTTTCCTTTTTTTTCTGATTTTTACTTAGGCATATTCATATATAAAAATTCATTAATTGCACAATCCAAAGCTGTATATTATACAGCTTTACTATAAATTATACCTCAAATTAAAAAGAAAAAAGTAATAGGCTACCATTTATTGAAAGTCTGCTCTATGTATTACCTCCAGTATAAGACACTTTACTTATCTTTCTCTAAATTGTACATGCTAAAATAGATCTTCCTTTAATTTCTATCCCCCGGTCCCTGATGCTCCAAAATCAAATAAAATCCCTCTCTTAACTGAGAAGGATTCTAAGAATCTACCCCCCTCCAAGAATTCTCAAATACTCTTTTTTAGGCTAAATATTTCAAATTTCCTTTAGCTACTCTTCACATTATATATACTAAAAACTGTATCAGCCAAGGCCCTAGGAATACAGGGAAGGGGAAGGATCACACTGTAATATAGCAGGCTTGTCCATAAATAAATAACAATGATCTTATAAGAGCATAACAGCAGTGGCTAGAAAACTACTAAAATATCATTGGGACATAAAGATAACTTCTTGTGACTAAGATGGTCCATATAGGTCTCATTAAGAAATATACATCTGAGGAGCGCCTGGCTGGCTCAGTCAGTAGGGCACGTGATTCTTGACCTTGGGGTCATGAGTTCTAGCCCCATGCTGTGGGTAGAGTTTACTCAAAAAAAAAAAAAAAAAAGTATACGTTTGAGCAAGGTTTTACAGATTACATAAGAGTTATTCAACTAGCAATTTGACTGGAAATAACTTCACTGGGCAAATGCACTGTGATTTACAAAATGCATGGAATAAAGTAAGTAAATCATCCAGTGGTATATAGTAAGTCATAAAACAGGATAAGGCTATGTGCTAAAACATCTCAGTATATTCCAGGTAAAAGATCTGAATATAATGCAAAGATGACTGGATTTGATACGTCTGGTGGTTTTCAATCCACTTTCTACTCCCACACATCCAAGGAATTGACTACAAAACTCCCATCAGTAATACTGGCTCAATTCAGCAGTAGAGAGAAGTAGGAGAAAACATTTTATAATTTTAAGAAGATAATGTTTGAAAAGAGCTCTTCAGAGGTTTTAAGCAAAGGGGTGACATGATCAGATCAGTATTTCAGGAAGATTACTGGAAGTAATACGAAAAGAGAAGAGCCTGAACTGAGCCTTAGCAGTTATTCAGACTGATCTATATTGAAAAACTAAGAGAAAATATGCAAGGCTTAAAGACTGGATACATAAGGTGAGGGACAGGAAGAAGCCATTCATGAAAATAAACACTACAGGTTCAAGAAGCAGGTTGGGGAAAGAAAGATGATTTCATAGCTTTGGAAATGCTGAATTTACAGGTGTCTGTATACCTATCTAACCATGCATATCCAGTGGCCAATTGGATATGCAGATCTAGAGCTTTGAAAATAAATGTGAAATGAAAACATGAATCTGGGAATTATCTGCATTAATGTAATAATACACTGGGGCTTGAAATCCCTTGGGGAGAGGATGTAGAGAAG